TCTTAAGATATAGTTTATACTCTTTATTTGGTACAGAAATGCAAAACCCCTCATCCAGTCTCAGACTCACAAGCTTGTGCCTGAAAAAAAAAAAAAATTATTCAACTTAAATTTACTTGTAAACAACACACAAGCAAAGGCATTTCCTATACAACAACCTCATAACCCTTTAATAACCTGAGTTGCCTAAAAAATATATATTAAGATGGATGGTGATCCTCACTGTAATGTGCTCAGTCATAGCCTACAAAGGGAGGTAAACGGGAAATTTTTTGTTACTTGCTAATTACAGTTAAGCCCAAAGATGTAAGCTACACAACACTTTTACAGACTTTTTGTTCATGACGTCGTAGAAAACAGCTCGGGCGTCGTCTACCTCAAGTTAACTTATGTTATCCTAGCTTGAACGCTTGATAAACAAAATTAAATAATAATAATAATAATAATAAAAAAACGCTTAACTTTACTTAGTAACGAATACTGAACAAATTTGACTCCTGCGCATGAATCCATGTTCAGAGATTTGGCCGGTTAGTGCCAAAAAGCTACAACTTAAAATGTTAAGTTCACTGAACTAAATTGGGCTCTTTGAATTTCAGTAAAATTAAACTGACTTAAAAAATCAAGTTGAATCTAGTATAACTTATACAAAAAAGTTGAAATTGCTTAAATTATTTGTATGAGTTAAAATAACTTAAAAACATAAGTTGTCATGGCTTTTTCATCATATCATTTTTTACAGTGTAGAACAGGTGTTCACGTTTTTTAAGGAGAGGCAGAGAATCTATCTTTGTCGCGGACAGAAGGCTTGAAGGGAGAAATGCTGGCCAGTAGTAGAGACACCCATCGGCCGTTGGGCAGAGTTCCAGTGCGCGGCAGCTGGAGACGCGAGGCCTGTCTTATCTTCTGTCCGGAGACAGCTGTGACGCAGCAGTGCGTAGCGCCGCAATCAGGTGTGAGTCACCTGAGCAGAATGCTGATAGCGGCACAATCTGACGGCCTCTCCCGCGCTCATCACGAGAGGACAGACAGTGGCGCCTTACAGCAAATGGTGACCTTTAAGATTAATTTGTTTACCAACAAAGGCAGTGCCTGTCACGAGGCTGGTGATGATCATGATGCTGTCAGCCGGATGAGAGAGAGTTTAGTGGAGTCATCTGTTCAGTTTATCTTCTCTGTCAGTCTTTCATCAAAAGCTGTAAGGACAACTCTCCAGTAAAGCAATGCTAAAGGACTATTATACAGTAATGATAAAGGATTATAGGATTATAATAGTGTCCTAGTATCTAATTTCTTTTTACATTACTGCTCTAGTTATTTGTTGCTACTCTATTATTTTTCTTAGCACTTTTAAGTGATCCCTTTTAACCAATGTTTTGTTTAATTTTACTTGTAATTTTCACTACTAAAAGAAAAGAAAAGATTTTATCTGCATTTATACAACTTTTTATTTGTTTTAAAGATTAACAAATACAGCAAGGGGGTGTATTAGGATAAACAGAAATCAATAGGCCTAAATAAAACCAAAGATAGAAATAACCACAAAAAGTTCAATAAAAATGTTATTTCCCCATATTTATGTATACCAAATTAGCTAATAGAAATAGCATAAATATTAAATAATATTCCTTATTATATGTGACCCTGGACCACAAAACCAGTCATAAGGGTCAATTTTTTGAAATTGAGATTTATACATCATCTGAAAGCTGAATAAATAAGCTTTCCATTGATGTATAGTTTGGAGATAGGACGATATAGTTAGTAGGTAGTAGATATAGTTAGGATAGGAAGATATTTGGCCAAGATACTACTTCTGGAAATCTGGAATCAAAAATTAAGTTGATATATTTACGGTAGGAAATTTACAAAATATCTTCATGGAACATGATCTTTACTTAATATTTTTTTCAATTCAATTCAAGTTTATTTGTACAGTGCTTTTCATTAAGATCAAGTAAAACTAGCAATGAGATACAGCCTTGGTCTGACGCAAGGAGCAAGTCATTTGTAAGTTTAACAAGTGCAGTTTCTGTACTTCATTAGGCTTTTGTATCCTAATGATTTTTGGAATAAAAGAAAAATCGATCATTTTGATCCATACAATGCATGATAATGCATTGTTGGCTATTGCTACAAATATACCTGTGGTACTTAAGACTGGTTTTGTGCTCCAGGGTCACATAATAGCCTACATGACGCAAAAGAGTGAAAATACAACCACAAAAATAATTTACCCGAATGCTGTTAAACAAAAATTAGGAACAAATTTCTTTACCTGAAAAGTCCGTTGAGTTTTCCGCCATTTTTAGTTTTTAACCTTTGACTCATGACTAGCACCCATGGCATTATGGGATAATAAACTAAAGTGTTCATTGTTTGCACATTTCGAGAATGCAGTTGGTCGGTCATCCTGTTTGTTCGCCATCTGTTTCGTGAATGTCGCGTATTTGGACAACTCAAGTCAAGAAGCAAGTTCTTTCTATACAGTACATTCCTAAATCTGACGCAGCTAGTGTGTTTACTATACAGTAAAACTAGGGCTGTTGGTGGAGCCGGAGAAACTCTAATCCCGGATTTACTCAACAATAAAGACCAGGTGTGAAGTGTTTTGGTTGAATGAAAAAAAATCAGAGACATTTAAACTGATGATTGATGGTGATTGAACAGCGCAAACAAACTTGCCCGTCTGATTTCTTCAGTCAACATACACTCGTGACAGCACACGCGTTACTCTCGTCTGCCCAAAGAGGGCGCCAGAGCGACGGAAATAATCCACCAGACTACTCCACATCTAACCTGAAATCTGTAAGGGAACAAATTCAGCTGCCTCGTGAACCTGAAACAAACCTTGACCCAGTGCCCTACAACATTCGAGAAGCCGTGAATGATTCATGAGCTTCGGTGTTAGTAGGTTTTGACCCTCAAACCTCAGCGTTAATTTTTCAGCAGCAGAGCTGGGTTGAGAGTTTAAGCAGCTAAACTCCTAGTCTGGTGTCTGTCTGATCCGTCAATGAGGACTAGATGGTGTTGTAGATATATCAGCATTTGCCTGAACTGATTTATGTGATCCTGATTTAGGGTCAACGTTGTTTGCATACTGAGAGTGTTTGAATAAAGATTATTATGAGGTGAGTGTTCATCAACTCATTTGTACCAGGTGATCTAAGACACCACACTTGGACTACTTCAATGTGAGCAAGTTGCTGTACTTTTTAAACTATGTTTTACTGACAAACAAACATTTTGTGAGGACACATGTGCGGTTGAGAAGAATTCCAATGCCTCCCTGCCCTTAGGGTCTTCTGAACAAAGAGAGCTTTCGCATTTTAGCAAGGAAAAAAGTGTGCAGTAGGTCACGGCCCAGGGTTGTGTTACCTGTATCCTAGTAACGCACCTTTAACTGCATTGTCGTGATCATAAAAAACTAAGCCGAACTTGACTGGAACAGATAAAAAGAGGAAAATGTTTGTGAAGACTAACAAATCAGACATTTTTCATTTACATATTTATTAAAAGTACAACAATAACAAACATTTTTTTCTCGACAAACTTTAAAGATGGAGAGAAATAATAACGATTATATACTTGTACAAAGAAGAAATCTAACAATGTCAAGCACAACAATCACCACTAAGCCACAACGTTACTTAATTCGAAAGATTAACACAAGCACAATAAATGCACATTACTTCAAATATATTCAACAATTTGTTGAGAAAATTAGATTTGATTTTTTTTCCCTCTCAAAGAAAACACTTAATGTTTGCTTAAATGGACAATAAATCATTTCCTGAATAATTTCAGTACCCTCTGTTTAGTCTTTTTCCGGATGACATCAAGGTTTAAATACATTTCAAGGAATCCTATTCAACACAATAACACTCTTGACTTTATCAAAGTAGAGCATCTAAATCACCCAACAGCACTTATGAACATATATGCACACAGATGTCACACATCTGTCTGCAAAGTACATAATGCACCTAAACGGTATACTTTCTTCCATGATTCCTGTACAACACATTGGGAGATCAGAGGATTTCAAAAGGCATGCAAAGAGCTCCTCATTGACAGCGCATCACACTGACCTGCGGCGAACTGAAAGTACTGTACATGATCTGGCTTTCACAAAGCCCATTGTGACAATTCCCTTCTTCAGGCCCTTCTCCATATCCTATGAGCATCTGACGTATAAAAAAAATACATGGTTAACCTTACAAAAACCTGCCAGCAGTACAAACCCCACCTTTCAAACACAGAGGTAAGAGCATTTACTTTCCCGTTCCCACTTCTGAAAAAATATTTGGTAGCAAAATAGAGTCTACAGTACAAATGACATGAATTTCAGAAAATAGGCATGCATAATTAATTTATTAAACATATTTACAAGTTCAGCTGAGAAAAGATCACAACCCTGAGTGGTCCAACACTGGACAACCCACTTACTCAACAATACGGACGAACGCCTGTCTCCAATACACTATTTACAAACTCTGTTATGAAAGTTGCTACGAAGGCACACTCACTCAGTTTTGTTTCTGGAGGATGAGAGGACATGAAGACCCGCAGGTGTGTGTGCATACGGTATGCACAGACACAACCGCTACTGTGAGATATGAAGTGCCAACTTCTTAGTGCGCAAAATGATGTAATGCCCAGTTTTTAAAATCTACCACAACACACAGAGAAACTTTTTCTCCAAAGCGGACAATTGAGAGACCTCACCAGACCTTGAAGAGCTCCTCACCCACTCGCTAAAGACACTGAGCGAATAACAATGAAAGCGCGACACAACACATGGAGTTATAAGAGTGATGAATCCTATAAAATCAATAATTCACATTCATTCACACAGAGCAGACGGCCGGTTCACTGCAGACAAAGATGAAATCAACACTAGACCAGATAACTACAAAACGCTCACTGAGGACTGCTGGCACAGTTATAACATCCTCAAATAATGTCCACATACATGCTTAGCTTGATGAGAGAAACGCTCACTGAGGACTGCTGGCACAGTTATAACATCCTCAAATAATGTCCACATACATGCTTAGCTTGATGAGAGATGGAAAAAAAACACTACAACTGGAAAACTGCTGTAGGAAGAGTATCAGGCTCTCAGCATCTGTTCAATGAGACCCTAACATTTCAACGTAACATAACAGAGATATTGTGAAGCATAGATAACACTTTCACAAGGGTTACATAAACTGTTATGTGCGTATCTGAAGTTTGTTACATAGTATTCTGTGTAGTGAATTTTAAAAAGGTGAATTGCTAATGTACGTGTATTTTTTTGTTCTATAAAGAACATTTCACTGCCTAGGGCAAAACAGGATATGGAAATTCAATGTTGTGGGGAGACTCGAAATGAAAAAATATTAACTTGGGTTTTCAATGTTGCTATAAAAAAAAAAAAGTGTCAGATTTTAGGAGGAAGTTTAAGAGCTCTTGATATGTACTACAAAACATTATGGACCAAGTTTTCATTATTATGACAAAACCAAAAAAGAACAAAAATACAGTTTAATTGATATTTGAAAAACTTTCACTTTTCAAAAAAGCACTTTTTTTCATGTCTAAAAAAAATAATCAAGCCTTTCATATACCCGTTATGGTAAACATGTACCTAACACAGCATCATAAAAGACAGGACAGAGGAGAGATCTTACATATACATGCTATATAACAACATATAACATAAATGGCAATATTTTATATCAATAATGGTATAACAACAACATAAAAAAAAATATATATACATATACTGTAATACACTCCTCCAACATGAGACAAACACGTGTGCTACGTGTGTGAGTCTGTGGAACCCAATTGGTTGGTGGGTATGAAGGTCTTCAGCCTTACACTCCTGAAATAACTTGATTTTTTCCAGATCTTGTTGTTTGTATATGATGTATATGTGTAGGGAGCATTTTTCCTATGACACACTGGAGCAGCGAATGGAGGGGGAGCCCATCTGAGTGAGCACTTTGTCCAGCCACTGAAGAGGACCGTTCAGGTGCAGTTCTATCCAGCAGGGGGTGCTAGTCACTGTCTGCCGCCTGACAGCATTAAAAAGAGAGAGAAATAAAGAGAGTTAAGAAAGAAAAGAGATTAAACAAACTCACAGTATTCAGACATTTATGCAACACTTTAATATGTGAATTTAACTGCATCAGATCACGGTTTCCAATATTTGTCTCAGCAGATCCCTTGTATGCATATGCACTTCATATCGCATTTCTTTAGCAATGAGCAATTTCAGTGATTGGCACTTGAATATCATTGCACATTATCTGTTGCATGCCTTTGTTTGGATCACAAATATTTTGAGACCACGAAAACATTTTTTTTTTTGGAAAGTGTGTTCTTGCATTTAATTGTCAACTGTGCTACAATTTAAAACTTACCAACCCTCTTTTGAAATATTTTGCTTATCATTCTATATAATAAATGCCACTTGTTTAGATATTTCATTATTATCTAGTGCAATGAAATTGGAACATTAAGTGTGGTTTAAAGGGATTGCTCAACCAAAAATGAAAATTGTGTCATTTTCACACCCTCATTTTTAAAATCTGTATGATTTACCTTCTTTAGTTCAACATAAAAGAAGATATTTTGAGAAATGTCTAGAAGTTTGTTTGTTTTGTCCATAAAATACACGTCAGTGGTCACCAAAATATCTTCTTTTGTGGTAAAATAAAAAGTCATACAGGTTTAGAACAACATGAGGCTAAGTAGATAACACAATTTTTAATTGTGGGTAAACTATCCCTTTAAGTTTCCACCATCCGATCAAGCAAAAAAAATATAAAAAAAT